CAATTAATACAATTAGCGAATAAATTAATCAATACAATATATGAGGAATTCTAAGGAGCTGCTTTATCAGACGTTAGCTAATGGCCCTATGCCACCTGGCTAATATCTCTCTATATGTGTTTGCCTGCGTGTTTGCTTGATATGTTTTGTGTTCTGTTTGTAGCGGGACCGTGCTTCCAACGGCATCCTTTATAGAGATATAAAAAGAGGTACAAAATATGTGGCTCAGGAATCTGACTAGACTTGCCTTGCGTTAACGTATAATAAAACCGAATTCAGTGCGGCATCTGTTAATACGCTAATAAATAATTTGATAACAAGTTGAATGAAATAGCAACACAAACGATGAGTTAATCTCAGCTTAAATTAGTGTGTACCTTTCTTTTCACTTTTTGATTTGAGGTACTCCACGAAAGCGAGGCATTTTCTTACTGAATGGTTTTGAAATGTGCTGGAACCTGTAATATAATGTTGGCATTTTTGTGACGTTTCGTTGTTTCGTCTTTTTGACCCGATAAGACAAGAATTAGCAACAAACAAATGTCTGCTATTTCGGGGCGAAAAAACGAAAGAACGAGAAATAAGATTTGTATATGTGTGGTGGAAGGGAAACCGACGTCCTTACGTTGATTTCTGCTTAAAAGTCCTTCAAAATGTACTGTTGATAACATTTGCAGCAACTTTGAAGGATTTTCTTGCATCACTGTTTTATATAACATAATCTTGATAACATATAAAGTAAAAAATGAAAGTTATGATAAACCCGCGTAGGTTTTACTTATCGACGTTACCGTAATATACCCGCAACAAATACTTAAATAAATACCCGTTTTCTATTCTTCCTCTTTCTGAGCAAAATAACTGCAAGTATCGTTTTTTGTCTGAGGTACGCTTTTTTCAAATGACTTTCTGCCCTTCATCATTATAAAATAAATCATCAGAAACCTCAATTTACTTTAAGCATTTGTGTTCTACATCATTTTGTGATGACTCATCAAATATCATAATCTCAATAATTGCAAAGAGTAGGTGTTCTGCAATTCTACTTAGTAAAATATTGTACATTAATTTGGTCACAATAAAACAGATCTTTTATAATAAATCTTCTGTCTTACAAGAATAGTGCAGTATGCAACTAATGAACTCTTTATTCTGTTTTTCAATTGTCCTATTTTTATTTGATCGATATATCCTATGTGATAGACCGCACATACAATTTTATTTTGAGTAATGATGTACTTATTAGGTAATACATTCTAATTGATGTACTTATTAGGTAATACATTCTAATTGATGTACTTATTAGGTAATACATTCTAATTGATGTACTTATTAGGTAATACATTCTAATTGATGTACTTATTAGGTAATACATTCTAATTGATGTACTTATTAGGTAATACATTCTAATTGATGTACTTATTAGGTAATACATTCTAATTGATGTACTTATTAGGTAATACATTCTAATTGATGTACTTATTAGGTAATACATTCTAATTGATGTACTTATTAGGTAATACATTCTAATTGATGTACTTATTAGGTAATACATTCTAATTGATGTACTTATTAGGTAATACATTCTAATTGATGTACTTATTAGGTCATACATTCTAATTGAAAGCAAGCAAAACCCAGCTTCATTTCAATGTTAAAAATGATTACCAAGCATAATCAACTAACTAATGAAATCGCTAATGGCTTGATACATGTAATTATTATTGTTAAGTTTGGTAAGTCAACAAACTGCAGGTCTCCCGAGGCGTTGGAAAGTAGGAAATCAATGTGGACGTAATAAACGTACAGCTTACACAGGCCATGACATCTACATCACGGCGTATCTATAACGACACCCTTAACATTACTCTCTACACCAAAGTTCGTCATCTCCTTGATTGTGTCTTTTAATAACGTTAGGTTTTTGAACGGCTATTTTCAGTCTAATCCCCCGAACTATTTATTTTAACATTATTGACCCAATAAGTTGGGCCGGATGTTAGCGCGCGGAGGGTCTTTATGTGGGGAACAACCGGAGTAAACAGAGAAAGCCCACGTGGTCGGGCATGTTACCCATTTTTGTTCACGTTCGATCGGGGATTCGAACCCCGGTCGCCTTGGTGAACGGAGAGTGCGCTATACACTGCAACACCCGAACAAGCCCGTTGTGCCGGTAGATACACGTCTACCTTTACTACTGCTCCACTGCTGTGACCTTCATGTATGTTACTTCAATAGATAGGGACATACCGCTGTATCCCAATTACTACATAGTTTCTCGCTATATCACTCTATATCACTATAGTACAGCTATGTAGCGTGGGTAGTCGCCAGGTACATACTTTTAACTAATGACCACAGCTGTTACTAGTACACACAACACATGTTACAGCTTATCTGTCTGACATACATGTACCTGGCTATTTACCATTCATGATCCATTCCGTCTCCATTCCAGCGTCACATCGAATATCACACACAGGGTTTCTTACCTGTGCCACGTACCAAGTAATTTCAGTACTGGACTTGTAACTGAGTGCTTTTTTGCAAGTTATTAAAAACAATCCTTCCCAAACATTCATTTTAGAGTAATCTTGATATTTTTTCTGCATTACTGCACGTCTTTCCTCATGCGTGTAATTGCACAATTTATAATTGATGAATTTTGTAGAAGCAACATAAAGTTACAGTATCTACGACATAGACGCAGATATTATTTTATAGAATTCTTTCTCATCCTTCCAAAGTTTTCCAAACAGATTTCCTAACTTCCTTTCTTCTATAGCTTATATATCTGATAACGATATTTTGATGAAAACATAGAAGTGTTTTACAAGTCAACTGTTAATCAGGCTTATTTATTTTGGGCACACATACATTTTAAAGTTAGATTTGATTTTGGGTCTGATAATCTTGATTTTTTTCACGTCTAATTGAGTAAGCTCACATTTCCACGAGGTTAACCCCAGGTAATTTTAATCAGCACCCTCAAATTGACTGAAATCATCTTCCAAACCTTAGTCCGGAAAAAACGGTCACGGGACTCCATTGTGGAAACTCTGCTATATCTATTTAGAACTATTTTTATTTGGATACAAAACCTCGTTTTTACAAAGGTCGTTGAATCAGATAGGATAATATTAGCCCATGTGTCGCCACTCATTCCCTTTCAAATAGTTTGATATACCACAATAGCTATATAATTTGATATACCACAATAGCTATATAATTTCAAAGAAGAAAACGGATGTCTATCTGAGACGCGACACCATTTCCTGCCGCTATAGCGTCATTCGATTACAATTGTCGACAACATGTCACACCAATATTCACGCCTCTGTTACACAATATAGTTATACTGTCTGACTAAAAGGCTCTCGGTGTCCTGTGGATTTTACTTCATCCGGGCCAGGAAGCAAAACTTATCAACGTGCTCGCTTTCATAAGGCAAAAGAAAGGAGGTACAAGGGCCCGTATTGATCAAACCATTATCAAGCTCAAGCACAGATTCTGTGCTCAAAACAACTTTCCTTCAACTCACTTCAATCATGTAAAACGGTGAAAAGTTCAGATGTCAATATGGAAAACAGTATTCTGCCTTATGTCTCTTTAATTTGTTTCCAAATCATTGACAAAGTAAGACTTTTACATTAATGTATAACCGGAGCAAAACAATAAGGCTTGAGCAAAAACTCCATACTTGAGCGTAAGAACGGTATCATGAATACGGGCCTAGGACATGCCCTATTTAATTAGACAAAGTGATCAAATGTGCTCAACTTGTACGATCATTCAGTTTATGAAACGGGGTTAAATTTGATGTCGAACTCTAAGGAATTCAAACTGAGCGCCTGTTCAGATGACTTTACACATGTATTATTCAATAATAGATATTAATCATTTGTAATGTATCCCTGCTCTTTTACAACCTTTACTCTTCGGCTCTTCGCGACAAAGTTAACGCTTATACTGGAGGCCAGATGACGAATCGTCCGTCCGTAGTCGAGCAAACTTTTTGACGCAACGATACTTACATCTCAAGCATTGTGTATGACATTTGCTACCTAAGGTATTCATATGCTCAGGTTTATCTTTTTAGTAATATTCCCTATTTTGATATCATCATAAAAATACTGAAAAAAGAAATGAATTGGAAATGTTGTATTGATGAATTATTAACAGGGTACTAAAAGCTTGAGATGATGTTATCTCTAATTTATATAGTTATATTATAGCATATTTATACAGTGACCCTCTTATCACACTCTATCCATATTAGTTAATTATAAAGGTAATTAATGTGTGTAATGTTTAACATCTGCCCTTTTATGGCGTTTACTTTTGCTGGGCCGATAACGACTCTACAAACTAATCTTAATTTGATCTTTATCACATTATTTCATTGTTTGGCACCAGGTTTTCTATATGTATCAGAACGATATTTAAATACTTAGATGGCCTGAAAGGTTCAGTAACTATTAGTTGAGAACATGTGTCTGGTTACACTGTATAACTTCACAGTTTGCAACGAAATGTAACATATACTTAATTTTTGAAACGTTAAATATCAAATCTGCATTTTCAATACTTTTAATACCACTTGCTAAATATCATCCCCGTTTCATTTGCGATTTACAAACATCGATAACTCTTTCACTCAGCTAATTCCTTATTCACTTTATCACTTACTCATTCAATCAATCCTAATCAATTGGGTGTCTCGGTAGCCGTAATCGCTAACGCGCACAGTCATACTATTGTGTGCAATCAAGTGTGAGCTTCAGACCACTCACTGTCGCAAGAATTTCGGTTCGATCCCCAGCGGTGGTGGAAAAAGAGAGTGATGTCTGATTAGGTTAGTTGTTATCCCTCCGATGGCAGGGTGTTTTCCCTCTTGGGTTTTCCTCCATCACGAAAACAACATTTGTTCCCTGAGCGGCGTCGTAATAAAAGCTCTACAAAGCTTATGCTTAATTATTCAATAACTCAATTATTCCGTTACTCATTTAATTACTGTATCACGTTTTATACCTTTTGGACGTTTTTAGAAGTGTTACATGTATTTACCAAATATTTCCGCGCGCTGTATCAAATGTTGTATATTATCAGTGTATAGCATGACTTACATATTATACTATATTACGATTGTGCATGCTTCAGTAACCTCCTACACTAGACTCTCCATGAAAGCAGTATGTATCATAAGAATATCTAACGAGATATAAGATGGTTTCAGATAATATCAAGTCTGACGTACGGCGGTTTATACAAGAACAAAGTGTAGACATTGTCATTGTTTAGGTCATCAATGGCTTGACCAGAAGAAAACATATTGGCAAAGATTTATATATGTTTATCATTTTTTGAAACAAACGCAGTATAAATGCAGCGTCCATGGTTATATTTTTATCTGTAGCAAAAAAAAAAAGAAGCAAACGTGTACATTATTTATGTTTTTATAAATGCTGCGTTTAATGTATTTTTTCTCATTTGTAGCAAAACAAGCAAAAGTGAACATTATTAATATGTACTGAATATCTGACCAACTGGAAAGGAGAATGTAACGAAGCGTACCAGTTCCCGCTTTAAAGGTAATCATAGGTACTAGTAAGTTAACTCAACACCTGTATGTCAAATCGATAAAATATTGCACGGGTTAAATATTTATGACTGCGTCTATGACCCACTCAACTATAACAATACATATCGTCAATGTACCCTCTATAAGTTATCGTAATTCTTCATAAAATCAAATATCAATGGATCATAAAATAAGGATATTATTTTTTAGACTATATGTCACTATAGAAAAGAATGATGCAGCTATAAATGTATATTTATGTGCAAGAGGCAAACCGGGAAGTAGTGGACAATAGGAGAAGAACGAAACGATAAGTGTACATGTTCAGATATGCCTTAACGATATATCGATGATATACATTTATCCCATGAACTGTGTTATCCAGTGAATGTTATATGACCTATCAGCCCTGTGATTAGTTGTAAGTTTCAATTGTGACGTCACGCCTAGGACAAGTACATGACGTCACAGACTAACGCACTGGAGTAAAAATGTCAGCTTTTTACATTTCAAGGTTGCATAAAATTTGTCGTTTTACACGAACAAATGCTACAAATCTTGATTATGTGATAAAAAAGGGTCTAACAGTTGTTTTCATTTCATATGAAATTAATGAATCTCTTCACGAATCTCTTCACGAATTTTTCATTTTAGCTCGCCAGAGGCTCGCTACGTTGAAAAATTCTAAGAATCATTTCATAAATCTCATATGAAATGGGAACTCATACAATATCCTATATGTGTGGTATAAGGGAACAGATACATTATCAGGACATGCTACTTGTCTATTTTACTCGGTACTTTCTCCGATAGCATGTTTATAGATATGCCACATTTCCGGTTTTGAATGATTCCACTCCTTTCTCTACTATTTCCATAGTAAGTAGACATTCTGCCTTCTTTATCAGTGGTGTGTCTTTACCTGCAAAAATATATACAAATTATCGGAATTAATTGTTATCAGGCAGCGGTAAGTAACAATAGATATTTTATTCATATAAAATATAAATCTGTTTGATGTGGTATTTACTTTGAATGTTTATCAGTTAACGCTCTTCCAATAAAAAAAAAAGCATCGTATAATATAGTATATCTTGCTTAAAAGAACAAACACTTTAGCAATATATGTAAACTATGATACGGCAGGCTCATGACATGTCAACCAGGACATTGGTGGCAATTATCATTAACAAATTACTTCAACAATTTGCCCGATAATGAACTACATTCAATGAGAAAACCTCTTGTATATATTCTCAGTGTGCTGTTTCTCCAGCGGGTTGCTTCAAGAGCAATGCACTTTAAAAAAGAGTGAATACAAACAGTGAATTGAATTTTAAAAAAGTAGACTTAATGGAAAACGTAAACATATCAAAATAAGTGAACTGAATGCAAACGGTTCTAAATATAAACAGTATTACTTTTCCTTTCAAACACTGTTGTATTAACAGGACCACTTATTTGTCAGCTTACCATCCAAACAATCAACAAAGTGGTCTATTTCTTTTTCAAATGCTGCCTCGAATCTTTGGGGAAATGAGTCGTATNAAATTCAATTTTTAAAACAAGTCAATTTTTCACGGGAATAAACATATATAAGCATAAAGTTCAAAATCTTCCGCTGGATTTAATGAATTTTTGCACATGATCAAATAAGTAATAATTTTCCTCCAAAGCCAACAACTCATTTCCAAATAATAGTAGTTTTAAACTTATTTGTGTATTTAAATTACTTAAAACTTGAAACATGTCAGTACGAACAGTTGCATAACGTTGGCACTCAAAAAAGAAGTGATATGCGTTTTCACAATGATGTAAACAATTTGGACAGTGTGAGTCAGTAACTAAGTTTGCAAGGAATAGGTCATTATCATTAACACATTACTTCAACAATTTGCCTGATAATGAACTACATTCAATGAGAAAACCTCTCGTATATATTCTCAGTGTGCTGTTTCTCCAGCGGGTTGCTTTAAGATCAATGCACTTTAAACAAAGAGTGAATACAAACAGTGAATTGAATGGAAAACGTAAACATATCAAAATAAGTGAACTGAATGCAAACTGTTCTAAATATAAACAGTATTACTTTTCCTTTCAAACACTGTTGGATTAACAGGACCACTTATTTGTCAGCCTCGAATCTTTGGGGAAATGAGTCGTACAGCCTGTTTAGTTTGCCACCATTTTGAACGTCAATCACGGAAGCAGACTCTCTAGGATTTTCAGCCAGCGCCATTCCCTCGGCCCCGAAAATCTGCATAATGTTTGATTTGAACCACAGGTAAACATTAATTTTGTAGAACTATATTTAGCTACATTTACTAAAAAAATATATTAAAATGAACTTCATCTATTTTACAACAATTATGTAACAAGTTTTTACAACTTGTACTAATAACTCTTGTTGGCCCGGATGTTAGCGCGCGGGGGGTCTTATCGTTGGAGGAAACCGGAATACCCGGAAAAACCACACGAGGTCGGGCAGGTGACCCAAACCTTTTCAGATCCTGTCGAGGAATCGAACCCCGGCCGCCTTGGTGAAAGGTAAGTGCGCTATCCACTGCGCCACCCTAATTACTGAAAATAGCTTTTCAATTTTTTTTTATGTTAATGGTCACAACCTGGATTTCGGTTATACTCATTTTCATTCAACCCAGTTTAACCTACCTCTACTCTCATATCGTAGCCATACGGAGCGTATCTATCCGAATCTATTATGGCCATTAATCCGCTTCCGTACTTCAGCGCCAAGGTAGCAGAATCAGGCTGACCTATCTCTTTCATGATTGGATCATGCATATGACTCATTGTATATACAGATATTGGTCTCTCTGCGGACGTCAGCCAAACAGTCATATCTATGTCGTGGACGGCCATGTCAGATATTATGTTACATCCTCCCATATCTGAAATGAAGCAAATATCGTAATGAAAGCTATTCTTTTTTAATGATAATAATATAATAATAATAATTCGAGGTTCTTATATACCGCTTTATCACAAACTAGTTCGTAAGTCATCTCAAAGCAGTTCACACATTATTATCCGTTGTTATAGGGCCTTTGAAACCAGCCAATATCTTACTCAACTCCCCGGGGAGCATACAACCGGTGATGTCATTTCGGCTTTCACAGCTAGCATTCAACATTTCTAGCACTGCCCAACTACATACTCATTTGCAGCTTAGTACAGACTGGAACAAGCGGAGTACAGTATATTGTTCAAAGATAAAACACAGTGCCGTGACGTTAACGTTACTCAAACCCACAACCATTCGGTCACGAGCCCGGCACCCTACCACTAGACTACCGTGCCTCCACTAGACTACCGTTAGTGTCTAACGTCTATATTTAGCTTAAACTCGTAATTGCAGTCATGTTCATGAAATTGATGGATAACTTATTGACCTATTTCTGCTATCCTTTTTTTAATAGAACAGGTGAAGCTGATTTAATGACGCGTGATAGCATTTCAGTCTTATTAAATGTTTAAAACATAACACGGGTAAGTCATACAAGCCTGTGTACTGATTGATAATTGATAAGAGATAACCCCGATTTTTCAAATATGCTTTAACTTAGATTAAGAAATAGCTATGTGTCATATATTCATAACACACATAGAAATAGCATTTCCCTGCGATATGCTTATGGCGACTATAAAACTTGTTCATAGTCCTCGTCAACCTTCATTATTGGAAAGCCCGCGTTGAAGTTTAACTTTTAGCATTTGACATCTATCACGGAAGTCATGGTAGTTAGAGCAAACTCGTGAGTACCGAGTCAATTGCGACATTTAGGGAACATTTCCCCATCCTAAAGGTGTCTTCGATATTAGCTTTATTTGTCATTTGGGTAGACATCTTAACGACAGAAAGTCTTCTGAACCCGTGTTCAGGTTTTAACGTTCCCGTTACATAGTACACTAAAGGACATTTGAGTGACCACGTCATCCTTCCAATCTGTTTCTGTTTCAAATTGCCTTTTTCGACAACATGTAAACAAACGCACAAAGAAAATTGGCGAAGGAATTTGCAGATGATGGTACAACTGTACTAAGGAATATTAACACTGTCACCTGAATGAATGTCATAACTTACAAGCATAATTAGTAGCGGACATATAACCTTAGATGTGTAGCAAGAATGTAAAATAATCAATGAACAAATGCCAATAAGATCGCGATCATTTAAATTCTTTTCAGTGGCGCGTTTTATACAGAGATGTATGTAAATATGACTAAAAGATTGACAATCTAGCATTTGGATGATTACTTCTTGTTTTCGTTTAAATCCATACCGTTTTCCCTATTATTTAGTATCGTCTCAAAGGAATGGATATATATATTTTTTTTTATCTTTTGTGATATCACGAACCTCAGTTATTGAAAAAGATAACCATCATAGGTTTATAACCTGTATTTCTTAAAAACTCGTATGACGGTCTAGGTGAGTCTCGACCGGTAACTCTCATGAATTTTAAGTCTCCAAGTGCTTTATCTCTTGTGGACTGAAACACATCACGGAACGTTCTGTCGAATCTCCTATAGAACAAATAAAACAGGATAAAAAAGCCAATAATTATTTTATAAATATCACTATACGACGTGTAAAACAAGCAGAATTGTAATACAGACAACCAATAATTATATTCTAAATATCACTTTAGAACGTGTAAAACAATTGCAAGTCAAACAGTACATTGTATTACAAACAGCCAATAGTTCTTTTATAATTATCACGATATGTGCAAAACAGATAGAAGAGTGTTACAAGCAGCCAATTATTATATTATAAATATCGCTATACGACATACGACATAAGAAAAAGTATAACAGTATTACAAACAGTCGATCATGTTTTTATAAATATCATGATACGGCGTGTAAAACAAATAAAATAGCATTTCAACACCAATGATCCATTTATCTTCGTAAGGTAGTGTTTAACTTGACTTTGTTGCTGAGTATATACTGTCATCCTCGATATCCAGGGGTTACACTCACTTTCGCTCTCTACACCCCTGGTATATGTCATAGCAAAATTAAAGGCTCAGTGTGCGCCACCTTGTTGATGAGACAATAAGACTAGTTCGATCCTTTGATATATATCAAAAGAATCTCGCGGTCACGTAACGGTAAAAGTTGACAGGCTTTAAAGTCGGGCGTCTCTCCTTTGCGATCTTCAAAGGACAGGTATCAGCCTAGCGTTTGGTCTGGTTTTTTTTTTACCTGAGATCAATTAAACAGCTATCTTCGTGCTTTCAATTTTTTCTATGACATTTTCCAGGGGTGTAGAAAGCGAAAGTGAGCGTAACTCCTGGATATCGAGGATGATATAATGTATAAAGAAACGAAAGGAAATAAGTCCATTATAAACCCACCTCTGAAATCCTGTGAGAAGAGGTTTATTAACGCGTTCGGCCATGTCGTAGCACCTTTTTATGTCAGCGTATGTTTCGCCACAGGGTTTCTCCGTCATAACGGCCTTTCCTGGATGTTTAATATTGAAAAATCACAATTCAAGTTATCAATCGAATTATTCACGTCGGATGCGTTATTTTGTATTTCTTATAGTTGAAATAACCGTGCCGCAATCTGTCGGAAATACTGCAGTTAAAATAAAAGTCAACAAATTTCAAATAAATATAATAAGTATATTGTTTTGAAAATATTTAAAATTATAATGATTTGTATTTATTTTAAGTATTAGCAAGCGAAGCCTTTCCCAGAATGGTACCTATCTCACCAAGCGCAGGGTTGCAGTCATGTTTACGTCAGTATCAACTAAATGTATGCTTTTTTATCTGCTATATATACAACTGTCACTGTAGGAATAATATTATTCATTTATTGCAAAATGTTGACGAGTATTTTTTTCAAATGATATAAGGCTCTATATATTTTTTGTATTATAACAATTATTAAAAAGCGAATGCACGGTATGTCACGAGAGCCGATTACAAAAAGTGGTGACTATGAGTTCGATTGGGTCAAAGGTAATGTTTACACAATACTATATGTTCGACAGGGTCAGGGGTTCACACTCAATAAACGTGTTTTCATATTAATTGATAAAGATATAATACAACTACACCACTTGGATTGCTAAACGACATTATCATTCGCTTATAAATTATAATCATCAAAATATGATCGTAGTTTGAGGAGAACCGTGCCAAATTTGACACGAAATATCGTCATTTTAATGGGGTCTAATTTGGGCATGCTTGGTATTTTGAAAATTCTCGAAATCTTAACGGCATGAAAGTAAATTAAATTAGTGATTTTTTTATACTTGTTATGCAAAAAATAATTTGTATCCTACTGATAAGCAAAAAACGAGATATAGGTAGTGGCACGGTACCATTAAATATTTGTATAATGCTACCTTCATGATTCTCAGAAATTTCATTTTTTATATTCTTAAAAATGTCTACGATATCATTTTAAATGTAATCAGACCTGATTCCATTTGCTATTCCACTTCCACTTACTAAGATTTGATATGTAATTTTGATCTACATTCCCTGTAAACCTAACATTTTACCAGAATATTTATGCATGTGTTGGTTCTTGGAACTATCTTGCGTTTGATACCGAATAGAATTTTGTGCTGAACGGTTATTCATATGTTGATGTGAGCAAATGTTTACTCTAAACAATTACATTGCCTAGAGTTGTCCTTGTGCAAATAACAGAACCATGCTAGTAACATATACTATATGCATTTGAATATTTAGATGTACGAATTATTGAACCATTTATTAAAACGTAGTGTGTCGAAGCAGAAAATCAAAATTTGAAACCCTTTCCAGCAATTTTTTCTAAACATTTTCTTCAGGTTGGTAAGTATGGATTATGAGAAGGGTTTTTTTACACAACCAATACAAGTTTCTATGTGACGTTTTAATGACTAGTACGATATGTACACTGTCACCTTCATCAGACAAATGACCAAGAAAGCGTATGCACACAAAGGTGTAAAATGTGAACGAGTTGTCCATAAAATCGATGTCGATTTCTGCTACGCTGGAAACGTTTGTACAATAGTTGTTATAAATGTACCGAAATGACGCTGCCTTTATCTGCTGCTTGAACAGATGGCTCTCTCTGTCCAAAACTTTGGAGTTATCCCAGTCAATCACATGGTTTTTCTGTTTGGCATGGTCTGTGATTGCCGATTTATTTATCTGGGACTCCGACTGTTTTCTTTCGGATCTGGTGAATTTCCTACCTTCTCGGGTTTCTGTATCGTTCCGGTGTTCACTTAGGCGGACCCCAAATCGCCTTCAAGTCTCTCCAATAAACTCTGACGCGTCGTATATAGTTTTGTACAGAGAGAGCAATATGTTCAAGCGGCAGATAAAGGAGCCATCTGGATACGCCGCAGTGGGCCAGTTTAAAATCGAGACGAATGGGGTTCAAAGACTCTCGACATCGATTTTATGGACAACTCGTACACTGGNACTCAATAAACGTGTTTTCATATTAATTGATAAAGATATAATACAATTACACCACTTGGATTGCTAAACGACATTACTAAGATTTGACATGTAATTTTGATCTACACTCCCTGTAAACCTAACATTTACCAGAATACTTATGCATGTGTTGGTTCTTGGAACTATCTTGCGTTTGATCCCGAATATAATTTTGTGCTGAACGGTTGTACAAGTTGTCCATAAAATCGATGTCGATGTACAAGAGTTGTAATATATGTACCGAAATGACGCAATTCAGCTACGCTTTGATAACACTTGGTCATAGATGTGCGAGAGTCTTTGAACCCCCTCGTCTCGATTTAAAACTGGCCCACTGCGGCGTATCCAGATGGCTTCCTTTATCTGTTGCTTGAACAGATTGCTTTCTCTGTCCAAAACTTTGGAGTTATCCCAGTCAATCACATGGTTTTTCTGTGTGGCATGGTCTGTGATTGCCGATTTATCTATCTGGGACTCCGACTGTTTTCTTTCGGATCTGGTGAATTTCCTACCTTCTTGGGTATCTGTATCTTTCCGATGTTCACTAAGGCGGACCCCAAATCGCCTTCCAGTCTCTCCAATAAACTGTGACACGTCGTATATCGGAGAGACTTGAAGGCGATTTGGGTTCCGCCTTGGGGTTCAAAGACTCTCGCACATCTATGACCAAGTGTTAACAAAGCGTAGCTGAATTGCGTCATTTCGGTACATATATAACAACTATTGTACATACGTTTCCAGCGTAGCCGAAATCGACATCGATTTTATGGACAACTCGTACACATTTTACACCTTTGCGTGCATACGTTTTCTTGGTCATTTGTCTGATGAAGGTGACAGTGTACATATCGTACTAGTCATCGAAACGTCACATAGGAAATGTTATTGGTTGTGTAAAACATTTAGGACATCTCTGTGTTACTAAAGGCCTAAAGAAAGATAACTCTTGTTTAAAGGTATCTTAATATCAATGTGATCAGCTATTTTGTAACGATACTAACGTACACGTTTGTGCGACAGCAATTAGGAAACCTGAATACGATTGTTTTAAATATATTCATCCGCTTCACTGTCAGTTTGTCTGTCTGTCCTTTATATTTCTGTCTTTTTCTGTCTGTCTGTCTGTCTGTGTGTCAGTCATTTGTATTTCGGTTTCTATCCGTCCATGTTATCGTGTGTGATAAAATGAATAAATGAACAATGTAATCTGAAACCGTTTGAGTGAGAGATAATTATGTAGATTGTCAAAATTATTGATGAACTTAGAAAGAGAGAAATAAGGCTCAGTTCAATGTCTTAATTGATAGGTATGTATTCTTACCTCTGCTGAGGCTTTCGCATATATAATCAGCATGAGTGTCTGTTGGTGTAAAAACAAATACGGCGTCCAGACTGTAAAGTAAAACATTGGTGCAAATCACTAATATAGTTAAAAGATATTAGCTGTGAACATATATTTGTTGTATACACTTGTATTACTTATAAAATGTAATATTGTATGATTTTCTAGAAAAATACACAACAAGCAGACGTGTACTTTTTCCGGCAAACACGTCAGTTGTAACCTTGAATTTAAACTCTATAAATAGAAACAGAAACCCCTCTTGCAGTGTTATGATTTTACACAAAAGTGGAATTTGTATATTATTCCCACATCTGAAGGAGAAGATTGTATTCGGATTTTTGTAGCGCTTTCGAATATTTGCCAGTAGTACATATTTTTCTATAGAATTTCAGGGACATTAGGTCCGAATCGGTCTGCTGTATCTCACTGAATGATGGTTTATTGTACAGGACCACACATTTTGGTCCGCCTGTAGAATCTGTAGTTTTCTTCTATGTCCTTCTTAAAGGAGACATTAAAATGACCAAAGTAAATATGTATTACAATACTTGATATTTTGTTTGCTTGGTGTTTTTTTCTACATCATGTAGTGTCACTTCTGGAACGCCGGTTTTTGTAGAACGTATACCTTCATTTAAAATTCTGAAAGCATAACTTTAACCAATAGGGTGATACGTTATCGGTACGTTATCCAGTGAACAACAAATGATGCATGTACCAAGGTTAGATCCTAATTAGATATACAAACATACTATTAACATTGTATTCATATTTTGAAACTGAGGAAAAATGGTTCCTAATAATGAACTGTACGAGTTAGTGAGACAATAACGTCTATTGAAAAGAAAATGTGCTATTTCATTTAACTTATACCTTTCATCACTTAAAAGTGATTCCCGGTCATCGCTAGTGTAAAATGGAGTGTTGTGTAGATTTAGGAGATCCTTGCAGCTTGATACAGCAGCTGGGGAGTCATCTAGGATCCACTTTAGATTTAAACGCCTATTCTTCAAAATGTTCCTGATGTGAACTGAAGACGCTATCCGTCCAGCACCAAGCACACCAACATTGTAATCTCTGTAGATAAATCGAAAGTTTTGTAATGTAGTAACCTGTCTATAATCGCCTAACTGAAACATAAATCAATCAAAGTTCATCCTAATGTAGAACCGACCTATATCCTTTTACCAGAATATGAATTAGTCAAATATTTCAAAAATCCTAAAGTAAGAAATGTCTTAAGGTAAACTTACTAAGAACAATTATTATTCAACAATATAGAGTCTTTCATAAAAGGATTTGATACTTATTGAGTTTCAATTAAAACATATTATAATGCTGTTCAGAAGACAAAGGTAAGCAATTGCAGTACAAATATTTGAACCATTGGAAGTTTGTAAAATGCACATACGTTTATCTTTTCATTACAATCTCTTTTATAGAATGTGTCATTTCTGTATGCAAGGAGGTTCCTGCCGATTTTTAACAATAATAAAATCAATACAGTCATACTTGCTCAGATGAACTCTTCGTTTAAGAGACATTATTCAACGGAACTGGTATAGCTTCATAAAAGTTATATTTAGCACAGAATCACCTGTTGGAAGAGGCCACCATATGGATTTACCGAAGGTGATATCTGTATACAGACTTGACCATGAGAAATTAAAATGCAAGGAGAACATTGTATTCACGTTCATATAACGTTTCAATGTAGTTCATAAAAGAACGCATAATTATCAATTTGATTTGTTTAGAAGACCCTTGATTTCTTTTGTTGAATACAACTGTATATCAATCTTGCCTCTTTTTTGTTGTACTTTGGACTTTCGGTGTTGGATCGGTCGACACTCCTGATGAAGTACAAAGTGAATGCCGAAATATCTAAACAAAACAGAATAACCAATCAGATTTCTATAAACAGGGCATGTTTTGAATATATCATTATTATTCGCTGTAAAACGAAAACTGCAAATAGTGTTACTTGTATTTAACATTAGAACAATAACCAAAATAAACACTAATTAACTAAACAAGGTTTATGTATCATGGATAAGAAAAGCGAAGGGGCCGCGGTGGCCAAGCGGTTAAGGCGTCTGACAATCTTTTACCACTAACTCTCTAGCATTGGTTCGAGGGTTCGAGACCTAAGTGGGACAGCCGCCAGGTACTGGCCGTCGGTCGGTGGTTTTTCTCCGGGAATTCTGGCTTCCCTCTACCACTAAAACCTGACATGTCCTTGAATGACCATAGCTGTAATTAGGACGTTAAACACAAGCAAACCAGAAAAAAACGATTTTCAGAAAAAGGTCAGTGGTATCAAACCTTAAAAGTATAATACCATAACTATTATGAAGTCACCAGGCAGGCTATCAACATTGCACGGTTATGTATTGTCAGTACCATGTAGCGGTCACTTAGGTTTCATCCAGGTAACCACAAATTTAGACCAACGCGCGCTAATGTCCGGACCAACAAAAGTGATTAAAACATGTATAAGTTGGAACATGCGTTTGCTATTTAACGAAATGATATTATATTTTAAGGGATATAAATCAGATATGGTGCATAGCAGCCGCCATTGTCATATGACACCGATCAACCTACAGATACCGAAGTATAGAACACCGAAAACATAGGGTAGATAGGTGTCAGCATACAGTGTATGTCATAACGGGGGACAGAAACAGCGTACAAAAACGAAACCTTGCAGTAATGTATAGTTGTTCTTGAACATCATTTATCACCACAATATGTATATTTAGAGAAATGGGTATTTAAATGTTTCTGTTTATCGTGGTTTTTGACAACAGATTGCAATATTCGATGTTTATATATACTTACCAGCTCTTTCTACCTGGACATACATTCTTAATCATACACCTGGTCTTTATGAGAGACGACATTAACAATGCTTCGGTAAATCCATCCCCGATATCCAGGGGTTTCGCTCACTTTCGATCTCTGAACCTCTGGAATATGTCATAGCAAAATTGAAGGATCAGGGTGTACCACCTTGTTGAGACAAGAAAACCAGTTCGATCCTGTGATGTACATCAAAAGAATCTCGCGGTCACGTAACGGTAAAAGATGACAGGCTTTGAAGTCGAGTGTCGCTCCTTTGTAATCTTCAAAGGACATGTATCAGCCTAGCGATTGGTCAGTTATTTTTTACCTGAGACCAATCAAACAGCTATTTCCGTGCCTTCAATTTTGCTATGACATATTCCAGAGCCAGAGGTGCAGAGAGCGAAAGTGAGCGAAGCACCTGGATATTGATGATGCGGTAAATCTTCTCAGCGCGCATCATTATCAACATTTTATGAGAATATGAATTTATCACAAACTTAAGTCACACTTTGAAATTGACAAAAATACGCACATGCATATTTGTTTCTTTAATTAATTTACATTTAATTAGATTTTAATGCAAATAAAACGCAGTAGTTTTCTTTTCATTGATTTAACGAGATTTGAATATTTTTTGTAAGAATCTGCGCATATATTCATTAGTCCAAATTCAATTGACATATCTACTTGTTTAGCTTGCCAAATAAATTTCAAGCTATATTAATGTTGAACAGTAATCTCGTCGGGTAGGTTGTTGTGTAACTGGCATTAGAAGGTTGGTCGAATGTGTTTGTTTGCTTTATATCATTTTAAGGTCTCATGAAAATATTGTCTGCAGATCATAAGGGTCACCCAACGGTCACTTAAGTCTAAATATATATCACATGTAAGGTGTAGGTTACAGTAGGATACATGAAATTTTGTGTTTCCAAAAATAAATAGGAGATATAAACATCTTTATCCAAAATACAATATTACAAAGTATAGTATCCCCAATATCTGTCACAAAGGTACTAAAGGTATACACTAGTGCTTCAGTGTGGACTATGTTTACATTTAAACTAGATATACATATATAGCTGCCGAATTTACCTGTACGGGTCATATTTAAGATAATGTGTGTATAGTATACCTTTGTAGACAAAATAGACTTCACGGTTTCCTCTGATAAGCTAAACGGCATGGTCTACTGTAACCAAAGCGTGTAATGACAAACACATCCACATTCATCTTCTTAGCATAACCTTATTCACTGGACTACCTTATTCTACTATCAGAATACACCTCAAACTAATTTTTATCATATAAAAAAAACACGAAATGGCAACAAAACGGTAATTCAAACCTTGTAATGTTTAATCTAGGGTTACATATAGACAGAAAAAGTATTTAGAAGGTGGGAAATGTATGAGGGGAGTAAAACCAGGTGTTCAAGAAGGACAAGATTCTTCTCCATTGACAACTCTCACAAAGTAAATGTTAGTCAACTTCACGTAAGGTAACGTCCAATGAAGGGAAAACCGGGATAGTAAAAACCAAAACGTGGTTATTTTATTTATCAACCTGTACATCTTGAAACCCAGTGTTGTATTTGTCATTCGGTGTTCAACGTAGAGGTAAACAAGACAACGTATTATATTTCTCTTCGTAACGGTTTAGCCAAACACGCGGCAAGCAATTGTATTTAGTTTTCCTGCGTTCGCGTCACGTACATACTGTGACTCGGCTTCAAATAACTTGTATGCTCCATGTGAATATAAATCACATAGTGTACCTGTTTATGTAGCCGTGCCCTTACATCTATGATGTAGAATAGCTATTTCTCTCATTTCCCTGTGTGTAAGATAGAGCAGCCCAGGGTAAGAAAGGGATGTAGGAAATTTCTATCTTACATCCCATTTCACGACGATTATAATACAGAGAAAATGTATTTAGTCAAAGTTCAATGTGTATACATGTATCATCACACATCTCAAGACCAAAACATTTAATTCATAAATCATATATGTTAAGATAGGTTTTGATATGTTGCCTTAACAAACTCCTTCAACGCCAAAGAAAAAGGTGTCGATTACTCCGTCTCCATAGGTAAACATTACTGATAGCCGCTGCCCGTGAATATATAGCAAACGACTTTGACTGGCGGACGGCTGTACGAGTTGACCTATTGGCCTCAGTTAGGCTACATAAACTAGGATACATGTACAAGCGTCATTTTAACTTCATCCAGCACGTATATACTTACATAGTGTTTGGAAGTTTGCTTGCTAAGGACACTGGATAAAACACCCACTCTAACGTTATGGTAACGTGCACCAGGTAGAAAGCTACGTATAGGTGAATATGCTATCCTCTTCACTATTGTCGCCATATTTACCCTCTCTATATTTAGCAAACGTTGTAGACACCTCTCCGTGACCACGCGAACAATATTGACTACACTGTGATAGAAGGAGCTACCTTTACGTGGAGATAAAACTACCCGCTGTCAGACCCAACATGTTATGATAATCGTTATGTTCTGCTAGATAAGAAGAACGATAACAAGACAAGATATAATGATGTTCTGTTACAATGGTGTAGATATTTTTTTTATTTACTTTCTATAGTTTACATGTCATACACATGTATTTCATTTATTTTGATGCAATTATTTACCATAATCGTTATAGAAATTTGATAATTTGGGTAACTCATTTGCAACGACGAACATCTTCTTTCTGTTATAGTCTCTAATTTTGGCATGTTTTTGTCCAAACCACACCTTGTACACATGTATGGATATATGCTGATTAGGAAAGGAGTTCGGTTCTATTGTGATCAATGTTTAAGCCAGGTAACAAATCTATCTTAACCCTACATCACATAGTATATAGCCTTTGTTTTTTCTCTTTCTCAAACTCTTCATTTATTATTCATCGTTTTAGGCCTAAGCCCTTTCCCCGTCTATGATCTTTTCTGATAAACAGGATTAGTATCGATTCGTTACTAAACAAATACAAAAATCAAGCTTATATCATGAAATACTGTATTTTTTATCGATACCTTCCCCTAATGAAAGCATCTTGAATGCATAACGACTGGCAGGTGAGATTCTGACCATTAAACACTAAGGACGTCGTTCCGTGGACCGCAGCCGCTGTGACAGCCTGTCCGCATATGAGTAACTGTTCGACCCCAGAGCGTGATCCTAGGGCCTGGTAAGCGGGAACTTACCTTCTCACGTCGACCGAACACCGACTTTGTCAGTGATTGTAGATGGAAAACACCTAAACCAACCAACCAACAAACAAACCGCCATTTGGTCATCCTGTGATTTCCATCAGTTGGTCAAACGTGTAAAGAATGTGTGAAGCGTAATGTCGGTTGGTCACTTTAGAGTTCTCCTATTTGGTAATGTAACATAATTTGTATTGAAATATTGAAGCATCTCCCCTTAGTTCAGCATTTAAAGTCAGTGTAGCTAATAATGGAAGAAGACACGTTTCTATTAACAGAAACAACACTAAAGCTCTATTTGCAATTTCACGTTGCTGCGAAATGTTAAGAATTTTAAAACAAATTAAGTACACATGTTTTGGGTCATGAAAACATTATCAACTGTATGAGTATCCCCAGCCGATATAAACTCCGAATTTTGATTTGTTTACTGCAATTTACTCAAAATGATAAATGCATTTCAATGCTAAACATGTTTAAGTAATAGAAATCCTTCTCTTGTGGCTATAGCATTATCATTCTGATATAAACATTGCCAATTGAAATATCAATACTGATGTTTTGTATAATTGATTATCCCTTAATACTAATGCAACACTTTCCGTACACCACATGCAAGCATCACTCATTTTTATGTTTAATTAATGGACGGTAGAATATTTCCAAGTCCGTAAAAATAGTAATGTAATAGCTGATGATTTGCATTGCACACCCATTACGTATCTGTAATATCACTACATATCTGTAATTAATCAACTGTATCTTGCATTCCTCTTCCCCTATTACAAATGAGGTGAATGACGTATACACGTATCACCTCTACTTAATTTAACATTATTTTTTCATACAAAAATATCATTCCAACGACCAAAATTCCAGGAGAAATGATGTTCAGCCGAGTCACCAAGGTATGACCTGCAATCCATCAGCCGATTTGTCTGTATATGTGTTTATGCACTGGATACACTTGCAGTATGGCGAAGATCTAAACTTGATACGTTTGTTCATTTGAAGTGTGTTCGTCTACACAAACATATCGTCCATATCCATATTTTATTTGCAAATGGACGGATCCAAATTGACACACACTCATACATACATTTACATTGTCAAACACCATTGTGCAGTTACTGTAGCAGTTTTAAATCAGTACTTAAGTATCAGAGCTTCTAAAAGAGGATTGTGTTAGGAGTGATTTTTACCCGTCTATAAGTGATATCATCAAGGGAATATTTTATGCATTAATTGCTTGATGGTCAAATATTCATTCTTTCAGTTAACGGTACGGTGTGGTGTAATGTTTGAATCGCTATTCACTGTGCAAGCAAATATTCTGCCTAAAATGTAAAGAGAGATTGTAACCGATTCACGTTAAATGTCATGCATATCATTTATTATTTCTTTCATTGCATTCTACAGTCGAAATGAAACAGACCTACACATGTGTCACCTATGTTTAATTCTTCGGCCCATGTACCTTCACAAACCAATATCACACGTGTCGGTACTAGTGCGCTCGCTATTTACACACTGTGGTGTAGTGCCCCTTTGTTTACATTCACTGATAAGATATGTCAGGTCACCAGGTAATGTAATACAGGTATAGTAGATTGAACAACTGTCCAACATAAACGGATCTGTGGTAATATAAAACCGCTAATCTCGAAATAACAACTTGCAGCATAAATTATTAAATAACAAATAAATGCCACTTGAAGGTTTATAGGCTGACATATTAAGATAAAGAGTTTGATATATTGACGGGATGTAATTCGGAAGATGAGATTGCGTATGTGTTATTTGTAACATCGCTTATTTGTTATCTTTTAGTGTAAATAATAATTCAGAAGCAATGTTGAAAAGCCTGGCAACTCGTGTCATGTGCAAACATAATTGTTAGTCACAACTTCGTTCGTAAATTTGGTTGTAAAGCAAATGCAAATTCTTTCCTGACATTTTCTAATTATAGCTCATAAAACCTTTTTTCAGGACAATATCATCATAAATTTCTCCGAGATATTTGTTTATCGAAATGGCGTCGAGTCTGCTTATTTTTATGAAATATTTATTGGCCAATTTTCTCCATTTTAATACTGGAAAGATGGAAAAGGACACAAATCGATTTTTTCATGTTTTACATCCTCATCTTGTTCATATTATTAAATATTGCGATACCGTAGAACGACATAATTGAACGTGCAGACGCTGCACTTATAAAGTAGATTTTTTAATGTGTAGTAATTTAACTACCATAACATGATATTTTTTTAGCCATTCCAGCGGTTTTAGATTAACAATTATGAAACTGTTACCTCAATTATGAGGTAACACCTTCACTAACATTTATTTTAAATCTTAGCATTAAGACAGGTACATTCTCTGAACAGTGGAAAATGGCAAGGGTAACTCCTTTATTTAAAAGTGATAGTTCCACAAATATTAGCATTTTAGACCTATCTTGCCAATTGTATCTAAAGTACTAGAGAGACACGTTCATACCTATTTAAATGAACTCATTGTTTCATCCCAGTCTGGTTTTAGAGTTAAACATTCATGTGATACAGCATTATTAAATATTGTCAACGCCAGGGCCAAAAGTGTTGATGATAGTCTTTTTACAGATGCCATCAAGTAACCATATACAGTTGTGGGATCGCACAACGTTACACGATGTGCGGTGTGCGCACGATGTGTACACGGTGTGTGAACGGCGTGTGCACGATGGGCGAACGATAAAAAGCTGGACGATCATTGCTTGCGCACATCTGTGCGCACGATGGACGGACGTTGTGCGATAACAATCGTGCTTGGTGTAAATTGAGGAATGCCTTAACAATTTATACGGTTTCGTGTTTAAACATATAAACTTGATGTTTACGTATGTTTCTATATTCTAGCAACATCTATAAACTTATCTTTCTGTCTATACATTCTTATATTTAGAAATTGTGTTTTCTGTGTTTTTAAACAAACTAAATCGACACATGTAAAATTACAACACAATCCCGTATACAGGTAAACATAACCACTTTGTACATGTACCTGGACCGTAGTTTTCTCCCCGCCTGGGGCACTTACGTAACTCGTCGGGTAAGGCCGGGGGTGTGAAAATCCAGGTGAAGGGGAGCTATAGGCAAACGAATGCAAATAACAAATACTATTCATTACGGTCAAACGGTATCGCATATCAGCTCTGTGTGTCAGGCACTGGTCAGGTAAAACTCCGGACACTCATAAAATTGTTATTTACCTGTTCTGTTACCTTGGAGCCAAACCCATTCTTGACAGCCTAACGGTCGCTGTAATACTGTGTAACACGCATTGTGAAATTGTATAATCTTGATTATTGTGATGAGAAATTACAGATATAAACACAGTGTACATTATCGCATACAAGCCTTCCGTATTTTTGTCATTCCGTAATTTTGATCTACAAATGATACCAAATCGCACAGTTGTGCGAAGAGAAGCGCACACCGGGGCGAACGATTGCTAAATCGCACAGTTGTGCGCACCATGTGTGGACGATGTGCGGACGGTGTATGAACGATGTATGCACGGTGTGCGCACGCTATTGTTTGGTGCGTTGTGCGGTACCACAACTGTACTTATATTAAAGTAGGATGGAATTGAAGTGTTATTCATTGTTGAAACATTTGTCGACATATGTCACAGTGATCATTTGTCTGGCCAGTTTTAGCCTTAACAAAACAGAGGCGTTTAAAGAATTACAGCACGTTCGCATTTATGATTGCTCAGTTTTTTGCATATTTGGTCATCACTAATGTGTGCGTACATTGCAGTGATTACCTTGACATTTGGTAAGTTGACATCTTGTTTGATTATGACCAATTTTGTTTCATTATGTCATAACAAAATGCAAAATCTGGCCTTTTGAGGGTCATATACATGTAATGTGTTTTTGACAGTACAGTCCCACTGTTCAATTTTAATAACAGCTATATTGACTTTAACCTGATAAAATTGTGAAACTCCTGACCCTTTGAACTTCTTTATATATCACACTGTATTACTTTATGAAGTTGTAGAAATTTCGGCCTTTCGGAGTCCCGAGATAATCTCCGGAAACAAAATTGCTGACGGACAGGCAGAAAGACACTGTGATTACTATAGGGCACCAACTATATAATAAAATCAGGTTTGTAGAACTAAATATTGCCAGTTGTTTGTTAAAAGTATAATAAAAAAACATCAACACACTCTCTCTATGCAAACTTGTCCAAAGATGCTTTAGAACAAATTTGGTTAAAATCCTTTAAT